AAGAGGTCGTTTCTTCTTTTTTGATTGAGTTCTTATGTTCTTCAATGTGTGCACTTATTCTTCTGTTAGTTATATATATATAATTTTTTCTTTTTAAGAATATAGTGTGTTTTAAGAATGTACCAAGCAGAATTCGATTGGAAGTTATGTATTATATTGAATGCATTAATCTAAAAGCTATACATTGAAGCTTAAATAAGAACTTGAATGGATAAAATTAAAGGATATAAAGGTGTTATACTCTAATTGGTAATGACAGGGGAAAATTTGTTTAATAAGAAAAGATAATGTGAAATTGTAACAGGACAGACAAAAGTATAAATATAATGATTTGAACTGAGATAATCAAACCAAAGTTAAGAAAATTAGAAGAGGGGAAAAACTATGTAGAAAATATAAAATGGTAATAAGATATGGAATAGAATATATAAATGAGCATGAAATTGAGTTTTGTGTCTGTATGAAGAAGTGATAACCTGGGACCACGCTATTTTCAAAAAAGATGTTTTATTTGTATTTTGTTTTTGTGAAATAAATAAATAAATTTTTCAAAAAACAAAACAAAAACAAAACGTTTTCTCATTATAGTGTTGTATGCAAGAACTACCAGCTGTTTGTGGCCTTGGTATTTGCAATAGCAAAGATCAACAAGGATTTGATTCTCCTTCCCAACATCACACTTGGCTTCTGAATCTATGACAATAGCCAGATTTTTAGGTGGATTTTCTGGAACAGCCTCTTTCTGCTGTCTACGAGAGGCCAAATGGTTCTGGATTACAAGTGTGACAAGGAGGAAATGCTTCTTTCTGTCATCAGAGATTGCAACACCAAATCCTCAAGGCAGATGGCCTCCATCTTCAGCATCTTCAAGGTCCCACAGGTAAGGGGGTTCCATAGGAAACCAGTATGGAGCAGATACAGAACAGAAACAGATAGTGAATCCAACGATGAAGCCAAACATATCTTGGGGCAATCAGGAGTTCATCATTTGGGGAACTCATGCAAGAGTTGAATTTGTTTTTATATTTTGTGTGTCAGGATATGTTTCTTTATACCACCATCGCAAAATGTTAAGCAATAAATTATCTCTGAAATACTAATTGATGGTTTGTAAAAGTAGCCAGTTTATTGTGGGAATCATGTTGATGGTTTGTTCTCTTGATTTCTCATGTGCCAGACCCAATCAAACATCGTCAGTTCTTGGTAAGGACAGAGGAAGTTTATCTTTGCCATTTGCAGAAGGAAAGACTCAAGTCTGCAGAAGAGAGTTTTCCTTGTTTGTGGATTGTGCTCCTTGGCATTTTAAGAGAGCAAAGACCCACTCCTGTAATGCAGGAAGGTAAAAGAGAAACCTTGAAGGCAGTGGTGGAATTCAATTTTTTTTACTACCAGTTCTGTGGGCATGGCTTGGTGGGTGTGGCAGGGGAAGGATGCTGTAAAATCTCCAGTTAGAGGTGGGATTTGCTGGTTCTCCAAACTGCTTAAAATTTCTGCTACCAGTTCTCCAGAACTGGTCAGAACCTGCTGAATACCACCTCTGCTTGAAGGCACAAGGGATGGGTGAAAGAGGGAAAGCACATTGAGGTGAAAACTAAAGAAGCAAGAAGTGGGAAAAAATGGAAAATTCATTTATAAAACAAGATTCTCCTTTTCTGCAGCTTGGTTTTGACTTCCTCAAGTTCACTTGGGTAGACAGAACAATTTATCCTTCCTTCTTCCGGATTAATCCCAAGGAATTTCCTCAGTATGTGGGTTTAGTCCAGCTGCTCCTGTATTTCCACTGCAACTGGGTTGGGCTTCTGGCTTGTGAAAATGGCACTGGAGAACACTTCATCTCAACTCTGATTCCAATGATCAAGGAGAAGGAGATCTGCCTGGCCTTCACTGAAATGTTCAATGCTGATGGTATGGCTATTCCAGTGGTTAAATTGACATTATTATTTAAAACATGGTTTAAAGTCAAAGTGATTGTTTTCTTCGGAGACTCCATCAGAATAACAACTGTATACATGGCTCTGGATTTCTATGAAAAAGAGACTAAGGTGCCATTTGGAAAAGTTTGGGTCCTGACTTCCCATTGGGAAATTAGCACAATAAAACCTCACATATTCTTGCATTGTGATCATTTTGCTTGGAGAATACAAATACAGTATAATCTAACTCTGTCCAGAAGACCAATATCCCAACAAGGACAAGGACCATTGCATTGCCAAGAAGATCCATTTCCTTGCATATCAAGACATCTTGGGATACATTTTAGCTTCTCTCTTTCTCTCTGTGTGATCATATCTGCAGTCATTGCAATTTTCTTTAAGGATCATGATACACCAATTGTCAAGGCCAACAACCAAGATCTTACCTACATCCTCTTGGTCTCACTCCTACTCTGCTTCCTCTGCTTCTTCCTCTTCATTCGTCCACCTGGGAATCTCACCTGTCTTTTCAGACAAACTACCTTTGCCATTCTGTTTCCCCTTGAAGTGTCCTCTGTGTTGGCAAAAATGGTCATGGTGGTTCTGGTCTTCATGGCCACCAAACCAGGGAACAAGACATGGAAATTCTTACAAAAATCATCAACCAATTCCATTGTCTTAGTTTGTGCCCTGGTCCAAGCAATTCTTTGTGCCACCTGGCTAGGAATCTCTCCCCCCTTTTCCCAACTTGGACTTCCACTCCTTGTTTGGAGAAACCATTTTGGAATGTAATCAAGGTTCAACTTCAATGTTTAATGCTGTTCTTGCCTACTGGGTGTCCTTGCTCTTGTGAGTTTCACTGTGGCCTTTCTGGCTAGGAAATTGCCTGACAGCTTTAATGAAGACAAGTTCATTACCTTCAGCATGCTGCTCTTCTGCAGTGTTTGGATCACTTTTCTCCCTCCCTATCTGAGCACCAAAGGGAAGTTATGGTGGCTGTGGAGATCTTCTCCATCTTGGCCTCTGCAGCTGCTGTCTTGGCTTGTATCTTTTTTCCCAAATGCTACATTGTTCTACAGAGGCTCCATCTGAATGTAGGGAAAATATGATAAGGAGCAAAAATCTCTAACTAATGAATGCATGGGAAACATCTTTGAGGCATGTTTTGTATCTGATGACATTTCTAACCAGGACAGGGAAACACGTCCATTTATTAATGCTATAATTGGTCATAATAAGAATTATATCAGAGTTCCAACCAAACTCTCCATCCCAATTCAGCAATCAGAGACAAAGTCCATCCAAGTAAGAATTTATTAGAAAAGTCCAATTGGCATATCTGGGGAGAACCCGAATCTGAATTCCTGCATTTCCCCCCGCTACACTAAAACTCACACCCAGCCCCCTTACTCATGACCTTCAAGTCACTCTCTCCAATCCACCTCCATTTTAAACTCTCACCAAGTCCAGTAACTCCCCTCCAAACTCCAGCAACTTGACCTTGAGCTCTGGCAAAAACTGGTTTTGTGGTTATCCTCCCTTCTCACTTTACTTTCATTCCCACAGTCACCCATCCTCCCTTGTGGCAGCCTCAAATCTGATTCAAGATGGATCATTGGTTGGTTGAGTTGGGTAGATGTTGAAATTGAATCCTCTAATAAATAATATAAATAGATAGTTTGATAGTTTGGAAGATCGATAGATCAATAGATTGATCAATCAATTGATTGATAGATCTGTAGTTCAATCGATAGATAGATAGATAGATAGATAGATAGATAGATAGATAGATAGACAGACAGATAGATAGATAGGAACAAAAATCTGTAATTTCCCAATGCTTTCATGGGAAACATCTTTGAGGCGTGTTTTGTATCTGATGACATTTCTAAATCAAGACAGAGGAGAAAGATATCCATTTAATAATTCTATAACTGGTCAAAATAAGAGTCACTTGTTTGAGTTGGGTAAAAATTGAAATTGAATCATCCAATCAATTAGATAGACAGACAGACAGACAGACAGATGTTTTTGTTTTCAGCAACAAAAAAGCAGTGGTTTCCGTCTCTTGTCTTCCAGTTGTCTCCAGTGAAGCCCAGTGCCCAGTGTAGAAATAAAGCTTGGTGTCAAAGATGGGTTAATTATTTCAACAATATTTATTCATTGTTAATGGTACATATAGTTTGATGACTCTTTTGACTTCAAGTAAAAATATGTTGTAATGGTATTCTACAGTATTGCATCCAGTGAATAGAAATTGCCAATCAAGGGATGAGAGATCATTGTTTATAAGATCATAGTTGCCTTTTTTGAAGTTATTATTGGGGATCCCGTCATTGTGATTATTTTTGTGTGGACGTATGTTGAGACAAAAGTTAATCATGTTGTGATCACTGTTGGAAAAGGGTTCTTTAATTTGTATTCCATAAATTGAATTCAAACTATTGCAGAAGATGAGATCGAGGCAGTTGTTAAGTCTAGTGTTGTTGGTTACTAGTTGTTCTAGTCCCAGTTTTGTTACAGCATTGTAGAAGGTTGCATGTGTGGGTTCAGTTGTACATTCGTTAAGGGTCCCATTAATGTGAAGTAGGTTGAAGTCACCAAGAAAGATAAAAGCATGTGGGCAGGATGCTGCCCATGTTAGTAGTGTATTCAGCTTGTTTGCATGTTTGATGTCATAATCAGGGACTCTGTAACATAGTAAGAACTGAAATGTGATATTTAAGGACAATTCACAGACGATGGTCTCAGGAATAGCAAGCTCCTGGGTACCTTGGATTTTTTTTTAGATGTAGGGACTTTTTATAGAAGATAGCAACACCACCTCCTCTACAAATTTCACGATCTGATCAGTAAACATGATAGTCTCTTACTGTGGTAATGAAGTCAGGGAGAGATGCGTTGAGCCATGTTTCACAGACAAATGTAATGTAGAATTTAGCCATATTTAGTAAGAAGAGAAATTCAGGTATTTATTTACAAGGCTTCTTGCATTGAGTAGCTTGACAACACTATTAAAGCCAACCTCATTTAACACATTCTTTGGCTCAGTATTTGTAAACAGAAATGGATCATGCCCAGTATTTCCTAGTTGAACCACAGACAACTACAATGATCTAATACATATCGATTTTACAGTAGACAATGTTGAAAAAACACTAAGCAATCAAAAACCATCTCTATCTATTGGACTGGACGGAATATGTGCCTACTTCTTAAAAAAGCTACCCACTGCCATAGCCGAACCTCTAAGCATAATATTTGAAAAATCTTTCAGGACCAGCTACTTGCCAAAACTATGGTCATAAGCCACGGTCATCCCCATCTTCAAAAAGGGAGAGCCCAGCCTAGTTGAAAATTACAGACCAATCTCCTTGTGCTGCATCACCTGTAAAGTCATGGAATCAATTATTAAACAATCTATCATCCTCCACTTACGGACAAACAACCTACTCTCCAATAAACAATTTGGTTTCAGGAAAAAAACTATCCTGTAATCTGCAACTCTTACACTGCAAAAACATATGGACTACACAACTCGATCAGGGCAAAGTAATAGATGCAATCTACATAGACTTCTGTAAAGCCTTTGATTCAGTGGTACATGACAAACTACTCCTAAAACTAAAATCTTACAGTATCTCTGGACACCTGCATAACTGGACAGAAGCATTCCTGTCAAACAGACAACAAATGGTCAAAATTGGGAGCATCCTATCAAATTCTGTACCTATCAATAGTGGTGTCCCCCAAGGCAGTGTTCTAGGACCAAGTCTTTTCATACTCTACATAAATGACCTCTGTGAATATATCAAGAGCAACTGCATTCTTTTCACTGATGATGTAAAGCTATTCAACACTACAGACAATACTGCTACCCTTCAAAAAGACCTTGACTATGTATCAGAATGGTCAAACAAATGGCAACTTCAAATCTCAACAAATAAATGCTCTGTCCTACATATTGGCAAAAAAAATATATCAGAAAATAAAATACAGGCGGAATAGTCAAGACCTTGTTGATGATTGAAACTCTGTCAAGGATCTTGGAGTACTCATCTCATATGACCTAAATGCTAGAGCCCACTGTCCAACCTTAGACTGTCTACTATTGACCTCACCCCTTTCCTAAAAGGTCTGTAGGGGGCGTGCATAAGTGCACCAACATGCCTACCATCCCTGTCCTATTGTTTCTTTTATTTTTTGATTTTTCTTATATGTATCCATGTATTCATAACTATGTTTTTACTTATACCTATTATCTTGTAAACCATTGACAAAAATAAATAAATAAAATAAAATGTCAGTGTTTTTGAGAATATCTCTTTATTTCCATAACGTCCTGAGGTAGAACAGAATAACAGAGTTGGAAGGGACTTTGTAAGTCATCCAGTCCAACTCCAGTTCCAGCAGGAGATCCTGTTTAATTTCTGATAAGTAGCTGTCTATTCTTTTCTTGACCAAAGATGGAACTGAGAAAACCAACCATCCATAGCTTCTTGGTTTTACTAGGATTGAAATTGAGACTGTTCCTCCCCATCCAATGGCCTTGAGCCACTAGAACAAAAAACTTTGACAGTATTAAGTGGTCCGACACTGGCTGTACAGTTGAATGTGCTCAGGATACAGATGATACATGGCCTTGAAATGAAAAGCATCAGGGATTTGGGCTCCAACCAACACTGCACAGAAAGAACTTCAGAGAATGGAGAGAACTACATAAAATCACATACTCATTCCTCAGTGTGCATAAAGTCCCAAGGTTTATCATGAGTACTTCACAAGACAAACATAGAAGACAAACTTTTCTGGCTCCAACTAGTTGTTAGACAACACTCCTATTGATTTGGCATCCTTCAGTATCAAGAGGATAGGTATCATGCTATAAAATCGGTAACTGCCACTTCCCATGTTGTTTCAATGCTGTATGCAGAGTCCTTTCCAGAGCACCAGGCCTGGGTAATTTAATATGGAGGATAAACTGTTACCCAAGTAGCAGATCCCCCCTCTCCACATCACTGAAATAGTCTGATGGAACAGCAAAGCCGATACAATTAGCTCCAGCTGCATCACAGGAGTTTCCAGAACGTGATTGTACAGTCACAAACTGCTTCCGGGACACCGGCTCCTATAGAGTTCATATTAACTTGACATGTTGAGAGATCTTCCTACCTATTTTTATGATCTATGCGAGAAGATAGTTTCTAACTCCTTTCCCTGCCACGTGGTTATAAATAAACCAGTTCTTCCACTGAAAATCGATAGTATTGTTCACATTTATTAAGGTAGAACTGATTGTCATGTTTCACCATGCCCATTAACCCTCAGGTCAAACTCCATCTTGTGTGTAGTTGCTTTGTTTTAGCTAGGCTCAACACCCAATTTCACACTGATTCTCAAGTAAAGCTGGTCTGTGAACTAACAAGAGACCCAACATAATTTTTCCCTTCTGATGTGCAAACAAAATATCTAGTGCTAAATGTGGGGGATAATTGCTTTTCCTTGCAATTATCAGAAGAACAATAGTTTTTAATGTATCCCCTGTGGATTTCAACCCTCACAAACCTTCAAAGACAAAACCTGCTTTAAACAATAAGCTCTTATTTCTTAAAGTGAGAGCAAGACATATAATCTTACAAACAGCTAATTCCTGGGTTTAGCCAGACTCACCTGGCTTCTTTGGTCACAGCCCAAACCGAGATAAGATGGTGGATATAAATTTGTCCTTAAGGCCATCCAGGTGGCACAGCCAGTTTCTATTGTGCTAAAGCTCTGGTGAGATTTTAAGTGCTACCTGCAATTCAGCTTCTGCACAAACCTTGATTTCTGATCTAGGAGGGAAGATGACAAGAATGGCTGGGCTGCTTCTCTTGCTGCTGCTCTTCAGGATCCTTCCCTCACCTGCTGCTAAGAGGATTCCGGCTGAATATGTGTTGAAAACCCCTTTCCAGATTCAGGAAAAATTGAACTATTACCGGCCTGGTGAACTCATTATTGGTGGGAATTTTCTCCTGACATTATTGGTTTCACCCAACAACCAAGACTTTCAAAAACAGCCAGCTTTGCATCATCTTAAACTTATGTAAGTTTAAATAGAATAGAATAGAATAGAATAGAATAGAATAGAATAGAATAGAATTCTTTATTGGCCAGGTGTGACTGGACACACAAGAAATTTGCCTTTGGTGCAAATGCTCTCAGTATACATAAAAGAAAAGATACTTTCATCAAGAGTCAAGAATCATCAGGTACTTAATGATAGTCAAAGGGTACCATAGCATAGCATAGCATAGGATATAATTCTTTATTGGCCAAGTGTGATTGGACACTTAGGAATTTGTCTTTGGTGCAGAAGCTCTCAATGTACATTGTCCACAGTCAAGAATTATACTATAAGATACAACACAATAATAGTCATAGGGTACAATAAATAATCAAATCATACTAGAAAACAGTCAATAAAAATCATTAGGAGACAAGTAACAAAGTTATAGTCATACAGTCATAAGTGGGAGGAGATGGACGGAAGGAAAGATGGGAAGATTGATAGTAACAGTAATGCAGATTTAGTAAATAGTTGGACAGTGTTGAGGGAATTATTTTTTTAGCAGAGGGATGGCATTTGGGAAAAACTGTCCTTGGGTCTAGTTGTTTGATAGACAAAGGATACAGATACCTGTTTGCTTTGTTTTGGATTCAGGACCAACTCTCAGAAACACTTGTTCTGTTCATGTATCTAATGTCCTCCATCAATTTATTTTGTTATGCTTATGTAGTATATATTGGAGGTGGTGACCCTCAAGAGCTGTATGCAATGAAATTTTATTTTAATGTATGCCTATTAGTGTACATTTAAAGTGATAATGAAGTTATCCGAAGTTATAATGTCCTGGAGGCTTTTAAGAAGAAACAGGTCATTCACTTGTCTGGAATGGTGTAGGCCTCTTGTTTGCTGCAGGGGGTTGGACTAGATGACTTCAAGATCCCTCCCAACTCTGTTATTCTGTTAGTTGGAAGGTACATTGGAGGTCTTCAAATCCAACCTGCTGCTTAGATAGGAAACACTACACCATTTCAGACAAATGGTTGTCCAATTTCTTCTTAAAAACTTCCAGTATTGGAGTCCCTACAATTTCTGGAGGTAAGTTCTTTTACAGATTCATTGTTCTAACTTCAGAAATTCCTCCTTAGTACTAGGTTGCTTCTTTTCTGGATTAGTTTTGGAATCACTCATGAATAATGGCTTTTGGGAAATATATGCTGTGACTCCAGTTTGTGCTCAACAATAGTTACCAGATCAGAAGACACTGTTCCAAGAGAGAACCAAATTGGTTAGGATGTTAAGAGAAACAATTGGAAAGGATGTATCGTAATAGAATTAGAAGGATATTGAAGGCTTCAAGTCCAGCCAACTCAAGCAGGAAACCATATACTGTTTCAGATAAGTAACTGTTCAGTCTTTTCTTAAAAACATCCAGTGATGGAGCACCCATGATTTCCAGTGGCAAGCTTCTTCCACTGGTTAATTTTCCTCACTGTTAGGAAATTACTTCTTATTCCAAATTGATTCTCTCCCATTGTTTCCTGTCCTGCTATCTGGTGCTTTGGAGAGTAGATTGACCCCCCTCTTCTTTGAGGCAGCCCTCAAATCCTGGAATACTGCGAACATGTCACCCCTACTCTTTCTTACAGACAGTGGAGCAAAATGAAGGAATGATAGAGGGGTATAAAATGGTCTCTGATATGGGCAGATTTCTTTTTTCATAAAGCCATCCAAGCTTCATCAAGGACCTTTGTTTAGAAATCAGGCAAATCTAATACCACTCCATAAAGCCTTAGTAAGACTACACCTACAGTACTGCATCCAATTTTGCTCACAACATTATAAAAAGGTGTTAAGGCTCTAGAAAAAGTGCAGAGAAGAGCAACCAGAATGATTAGGGGCTGGGGACTAAAACATATTAAGAATAGTTACAGGAACTAGACTTCGCTAGTTTAGTGAAGAGAAGGACCAGGGGAGACATGATAGCAATATTTCAATATTTGAGGGGCTGCCCCAGAGAAGAATGGGTCAATCTATTTTCTAAAGCACCTATAGGCCAGACAAGGAATAATGGGTGGAAACTGAACAAAGAGAGATTTAACCTGGAAATAAGGAGAAACTTTCTGACAGTGAGAACAGTCAACTAATTAAATAGCTTGCCTTCAGAAGTTGTGGGAGCTTCATCCCTTGAGACTTTCAAGAAGAGATTGGACTTCCATTTGTCAGATATGGTGTGGAGTCTCCTGCTTGGATAAGGGCTTGGATTAGATGACCCACAAGGTCCCTTCCAACTCTGTTAACCTGTTAAATCCAATCGATTGATTAAATGAGTGAATGCATTCTTTATTGGCCAAGTGTGATTAGACACGCAAGGACTTTGTCTTGGCGCATATACTCTCAGTGTACATAAAAAGGTACATTTTTCAAATATAATAAGGTACAACACTTAATATAGTCATAGGGTACAAATAAGCAATCAAATCATAGTAGGAAACAGTCAATATGAATTGTAAGGCTTCCTGCTCCACAGTATGTTAAATCTCTAGTAGTACACACATTTTCTTGTAACATTTTCTCACATTTTTTTCCATTCTAGATTTATAGCCAAGAACTACCAGCACTTCATGGCCTTAGTCTTTGCAGTCACAGAGATCAACAAGAGTTTGGTTCTGCTGCCCAACATCACCCTTGGCTTCAATATCTATAGCAATTTCCAAACTGAGATGTCAATTTCCTCAAACAGCCTCTCCCTGCTCTCCACACGAGGCCGAATGGTTCCCAGTTATAAATGTGACAGGAAGGACACTCTGCTCTCTGTCGTTGGAGGTCTCAACTCCAAATCTTCTCGGCTGATGGCCTCCATCTTCAGCATCTTTAAGGTCCCAAAGGTATGGAGGCTCCAATGGATGTGGCATGGAGTAGACAAACAACAGAAACAAACCCAGAAGCCAAAAATAATGGGAGGGGGGAAAATAGGAGTATGTGCCTCAGAGAATCTATACTAGAGTTGAATTTATGTTTGTATTTTATTTGTCAAGACATATTTTGATTTAATCCCAAAAGATACTGATATGTTCTTGAAGCTCTACCCTTGCCAACAGGAATTCTTTCCTAACTTATTTTTCATAAAAGCAAAACATTTTTAATGAATTTGATTCTCTCGGGGCAATTGATTTGAATCAATATGAGTGAATTTGTTCCCTTGACTTCTGTCATGTCATAACTAGGCAAAATATGTAATTGGTGGTTCTTCCTTAGAAGGGAACAATCTTAAGTTCACAAAGTCACTGAACGTGATTCATGGAGCAAGATAGGGCACATTGAGCTCCCCTTAAATCTCCATAAACCTTTATCAAGAATCCAACTCTTTCCAGCTTGGTGTTGACTTTAAGTACTCACATGAAGACAGCATAGTTTATCCTTCCTTCTTCCGAGTTAACCCCAGTGAGTTTCCTCAGTATATGGGTTTAGTCCATCTGCTCCTGCATTTCCAGTGGAACTGGGTTGGACTTCTGGCCCCTGAAGATGACAATGGAGAACATTTCATCTCATCTCTGATGCCATTGCTCAAGGAGAAGGAGATCTGCCTGGCCTTCTCTGAAAAGTTGAAGTCAGATATCTTTGCTACTACAGAGTCAAAATTGCTTCATGTTTTCAAGATGTGGTCTAAAGCTGAAGTTATTATTCTGTTTGGAGATTCCAGTAGCAGTGCAAATGTACAGGTAGCTGTGTATGGTCATGAAGTAATGAGAAAGAAACCATTTCAGAAAGTTTGGATCCTGACTTCCCATTGGAAACTTAATGTGGTGGGATCTAAAAACATATTGCAACTTATAAAGCCCTTCCATGGGGCTTTGCATTTTAGGCATCACATGGGAGATGTCTCAGATTTCAACCATTTCCTCCTGTCTTTAAATCCTTGGAACCCACAAGGGGATCTTTTTCTTTCTCCGTGGTGGGAAAGGGTCTTTGGCTGCATTATTCACAAACCAGGATTGAGCCCTAAAACGGGGAAAAAACCATGCACAGGAAAGGAGAATTTAGAGAACGTCCCGACTTACATCTTTGAGAAACGCATGACAAGTGAAAGTTACAATATCTACAATGCCATTTATGCTGTGGCACATGCATTGCATGCAATGTATGGATCAGTAACCCAATCAATAATGAAGAGGTTTGGAAAGAAGATCGCAAATGTCCAGTCATGGCAGGTAATTTCTATGACTTTTTATCCAGTCTACGGATCCTTAAAGAGGAAGCTTTCTATACATCTGTTCTGTCCTACACCTCCCCCAAAAGCACTGAATCAATTCTGAGTCCCAGCAAAAAAACTCTTTTTTTCATATTAATGTGAATTTATTTCATTCACAGACAGCCAACAGATTGGCAAACAGTTTTGCGAAGGTATACTAATGAGCTCAGACCTTTATCAATCCTGGAACGCTGCGTAGTAAATAGTTCCACACTCAGTGCAGGTAGGGAAGGGCTGGATTATTCAGACAAATATCACGAGGCTGGAACACGGAAGCCAATGAATAAGCGAGTTGTTTCCTACAAAAGCCCCCTCCTGTTTTGCTTCTCTTTAATCCTAATTGGAGGGGCGATTCATTTGTCTGTCTGTGGCCTTACTCCCACATCAACCCTGAGTTCTTTATTATGCCTTTCTTTTAGCAGCTCTGCACATGCGCAGGCTGGGAAATGGTTCCAGAAGCTCCCCTGCCTCACTGCTGTCTGAGCCCAAAGGCAGCTGATGATTGCCAGCCTACCCTGGTCCCATCTCTGCCACTGATGCAGAGCCCTTATCTGAGGCTTCCTCAGCCTCCAGGAATGGCCCAGCTTCCTCCCCAACTTCCTCACTACTGTCCGACTCTGCTGCCAGCTCTGCCAGCCACTAATGGGCCACAACAACATCCATTTCTTGAATTACTGATTAAATATCTGTATTGTGAGAAGGCAGGTGGCCCAGAAAATAGCCAACAGCTCTTTAAGGTCTCTCCCTAATCAGCACAGCAACTGGTGGCTATAAAACTGAGCAGAGAGGCAGCTAAGGATGAGGTATTGTGATTGGTGTGGGGATTGTCTGGGGAAATAAACCATCCTGAAGCAGTCTAAAGTGGATAGAAATAATACTGTTCTTCAGCAGTAGCACTTACAAGAAGTAATAGTTTGAGGAACAGTTAAGGAGGTGTAGAAGAAGTGGGAAAGAATGGAGTACTGAGCAGTGAGCACACTCTCTTGAGTGCTTGTATGGATGCCAAGGGATTTGTGTGGTTGTGTTGGCTCTTTTGGGTTTAACCAACTCATTTGGGTATATGTAACAGAACCTTTGACAAAATGGTGGCAGAGTGGGATATCCAAAAAGTCAGCATATCCAAAAAGTTAGGGGCATTTCAAAAGTTGGGATATACAAAAAGAGGGAGAATTGCATAAAAAAAGTGGGATATCTAACACAGAACAGCATCCACATAAGTGGAGACAACTTACACTGGAGAAATGTAGCCCAGTTCCAAATAGCCATGGCCCAGTAGTGGGCTGCGACTTGGGGGTTGGAGACCCCTGGCCCAGAGCCAGAAGACAATGTAAGTGACTTTGTGCAAGATATTTCAGAGAAGTCTTTTGGGGCACATTTCCAGTTTCCTCAGTGTGTAGCCTAAGTCCAACCTCAAAAAGACACTCAGAATAACAGAGTTGGAAGAGACTTTAAAGCTCCACTAGGTTCCTGGTCTGAAATTCATCAGACCAGGGGTGAGCTTTAAATAATTTAATGACTGGTTCTCTGCCCAGTTGCTGGGTGGACATGGCCATGGTGGGTGTGGCCTAGTCAGCCTCCTGCACCACACTGGAAGCAAAAACAGGCCACAGGGGGCCCATTTTCACCATTCCCAGGTTCCGGATGCTCCCTGGAGGCCAGAAATGGGCCTGTTTCAGGCATTTAGGACCCTCCAGGAGGCCCATTTTTGCCCCCTCTGAGCCCCCACACAGTCCCTGCATTTACTTGTGATCTAAAACAGGCAACATAGGGACTCCTGGGCAGGGTGGGGTGGGTGAGGCAAGCCAGTTGTTGGAACTACTGGTTTGCCAAACTGGTGTGAACTGGCTGAAGTGCACGCCTGCATCAGATGTTTATCAGACAAAGGCTAAACATTAGACTTCTCTGGACAGGTAAATGACAAGCCAACAAAGGCACTTCCTTTCACATGCCCTCCCCCTCTCCGCATACACTCTGGTCAGACCTGATTATCAGATAGGAAAAGTCAGTAGAATTGGAACCAATTCTATCACTGTTCTGATAGAAATTATTTAATCATTCCCCAAGTCCTTGATCCAAAGTAAACATTTAAAAATGTACATAGCATTAAATACATTAAAAGTAAACATTAAAAAATGTACATCCCAGGAATACAACCACATAATACATTTTGTAGTATGCATTACAATTTTTGTGTTTAGGTATAAGTAAAAGTGGATTTGAAGAAACCATCATAGGAATGCATAAAGAGACACTTTTGTACTGTTGGGGAAAGAGTCAAATATTTGTTGTTAGTCCTGATTACTCAAATCTCTACCAAGGCAACTCTTGTTTCTTATACATACACATATCTCCTAATATGATGGCCATCACAGAATGATAGAAGCCATGATGTCCTTCAGCAAACTATTCCAATTTCTGTAGAACTCTTTTCTTTCAGATTCTTGCCTATTTGAAGAATGTCCAGTTCAACGACAGTGCTGGAAATGAAGTCTCCTTCTCAGAAAATGGATTGGGATCAGCTCAATATGATCTTCTCAACTGGATTCTCTGCCCCAATCAATCTTTTTTCCCCATAAAAGTTGGGCAAATCAATCCCAGGGCTCCCTCAGGCCAAGATTTCACCATTAACAAAGATGCAATCATCTGGGCCACAAAGGTGAGCTCGAAGGAAATGTAATTTCATGGAAAGATTCATTTTCTCCTGGGGTTGCAGAACATCCTACCAACTGAACAACAGGTCTATTGAATCAGAAAACATGGCTTCTATTTGGTGAATAAAAACAGCTTTGCATGTAGCACATTTGAATTCTGATTTGTGTCAATCCACAAATGGTTGGGATTAGGAAGAACTTCTGCTTGAACCCCCAAATGCAATCAGAGGCAGAAACTGTATTTCTAGGGACTGTTCTGTTCAAATAGATCATCATATTTTTTTGCCTTCCTTTACATAGGGAGGTCCCAGTTCTAATCTCCAGCATCCATTTTGTGGATTAGGAATGGCACTGGCTAGAGTCTTTCATGAGCTGTTCTTGGTTTCTGATAAATCCTGGTGAAACCATCTTCTTTTGGAGACATACTGAAGATGGAAATAGGATTCTGGAGAACAATAAATAAAGCCTATCCATTGCTTAGTTATCTTAAGCATTTCTGCTTTCTCTTTAAGGAAGTGCCCTTTGCCAGGTGTGGCAGGAAGAGGTGCCATGCAGGAGAGAGGAGAAATGTTCCAAAGGGAGAACAGGTTTGTTGCTACCAATGTAACTCTTGTCCAGAAGGCACCATTTCGAATCAGACAGGTAAAGCAGACTTCAAAAGTAGATCTTTCAGTATTAAGCCACCTATTCAATTGACCAAAATTTTTATTGTTGTTCTCGTCATTTTTGGCAAGATTAACATGGTTCCAAGCATTCATGTTTTTCAGCAGAACCTTTCAGTTTATTTATCTAAATGCTCCTACCTCCATGAATAATGTAGTCAGACACAAGCTAGCTGATTCCAACAAATTTAGCCTGTGCATTGAGTACCAAACAAATGATGAGTGCCAGGACAACATTTTTGCATCAAAATGTGTTGAGTACCAAATTCCATGAGTTTCAAACCAGTTGAGTTCCAAGATACCACTGTAGCAGGCTTCCTGGAGGAAAGATCTAACTATTGCAGTTTACAGTTGACAATCTCTCATACTGAAAGCCACAGTAATTATGAAAATTCCTTGTGACTGGAGAGGGTATTTTTCCCTCTACAGCAAACTGACCAGAATGGCTCAGATTGAACAGATAATTATATCTAGCAAGATCGTAATGAAGGTTGATTTACCTTTTGGATGCACCATAAAGTACACAGTGAGTCATTCCATCATTATATTTGTGAGTTGGCCACAGTAGAAAGGCAACATTCATGACATCCCAGAGGGAGGGATGATACTCATGGCAGATGTGCTTGAAATACTTTAGAAAAGGACTCTTATTTCAGATTCAGCCCACTGTGATCCTTGCCCAGAAGACCAATTTCCCAATGAGCACAAGGATCACTGCATTGCCAAGAAGATCCACTTCCTTGCCTTTGAAGAGACCCTGGGATACACTTTAGTATCTTTAGCTTTGTCTCTCTCTCTGATCACATCTGCAGTCCTGGCAACTTTCCTTCACCATCGTGAGACTCCAATTGTCAAGGCCAACAATCGAGATCTCACCTACATTCTCCTGGTCTCCCTCCTGCTCTGCTTCCTCTGCTCCTTCCTTTTCATTGGTCAACCTGGGAAGCTCACTTGTCTCTTTCGACAAACTGCCTTTGCCATTGTCTTTTCCCTTGCAGTGTCCTCTGTGTTGGCAAAGACTGTCATGGTGGTTCTGGCTTTCATGGCCACCAAACCAGGAAACAAGACAAGGAAACTCTTAGGAAAACCGTTGACCAATTCCATTGTCATAGTTTGTCCCTTGGTTCAAGTACTTCTTTGTGCCATCTGGCTGGTAACCTCTCCCCCATTTCCCAACTTGGACTTTCATTCCATATTTGGAGAGGCCATCTTGGAATGTAATGAAGGCTCAGCTTCAATGTTTTACACTGTCCTTGCCTACCTGGGATTTTTAGCCCTCATCAGTTTTACGGTATCATTTCTAGCTAGGAAATTACCTGACAGCTTTAATGAAGCCAAGTTCATCACTTTCAGTATGCTGGTCTTTTGCAGTGTTTGGATTACTTTCCTCCCCACCTACTTGAGCACCAAAGGGAAGTCCATGGTGGCTGTGGAGATCTTCTCCATCTTGGCTTCTGGAGCTGCTGTCTTGGCTTGCATTTTTTCTCCCAAATGCTACATTATCCTATTGAGACCCAACCTTAATTGCAGAGAAAATATCATAAGAAATAAGAATTTCTAATTCATTCATGGATAGACCACATTTATATTTATTATTCAGGACTGTTTATAATGTAATAAGATTTTAATATATGTGGTTTTATATCTAGTTTTACATGTAATGAGATGTATCTTTTAAAGTCTTCTTGGGCTTTTTTGCTATATTATCATTAAAAAAATCTTAATACTCTTGTCATGTGAGGTAGAAAAAAAATCTAATTGGATTTTTAAGAGGAGCTTTAAAAACACTTGAATTTTGCAAAGGGGCATATTGTACATGAGTCAGTGAGTAACTTGTGGTTGCACAAATGCGTGTGGTTCTGCATGGCAGAATCAAAGGTTTGCAGCTTCATAAAGTGGCTAGAACTTTATAGTCACCTAGAGTAGCTCATTTTTTCAATCAAAGACCTTAGCTATTTTGAATCTGTGTGGGATCAATAGCTCTATAACTATGCGTTATTACATGGCCCCTAAATGTAACTTGAATGTAAGCAAACTTTAATTTGCTCTGAATTCACTATATCTTCCTCTTTTGGAATCAGCACATCCTTAGCATATTATAAAGCAGAAGTCTATTTTGGCAAAGGATTAGAAAAAATATGGCAACTTCTGTAAGAGTCATTGAAAACCAAATTAGGCTAAAAGTCAAGCCCTAGGGGCAAGCAAACACATGTATTTGAGGCTCCAAAAGATAAAAGCTAGCGGAAAAAAATGGGAAAAAAGGCATTTACAAACTCCTGTCCATGAGCTGTCCTGGCCATAGCATCCACCAGTCTCTCCTGGCCATGGCTTCCACCAACTTTTCCTACTCCTTTTAGGAAATTGCAATTCAATTGAGAATCAGTCACATTAATCCATGAATTAATGACATTAAAATCATCCTGGATCAATGCTCATTTTGCCTTGCCAGGCCTTGCTCCAGAGGGTGGTTCAGGACAGATGTTGAAACATACACACAAAGACAGCAATTATACAAATAAGTGATTTTATTTGAACACTATGAGATTTACACTGAGTGATTTGATCTAGGAGAACATACAAGCAAAGGTGATATTCATAAAAATCAGAATGTAAAACAGGAAACATTTTCCCACCCCCTGTGGAAGGACATCCATCCTTTGGAAGGTTTGAGACTGAGCCTTTTCCTCCTCATCCAGATCCCAACATCTAGGCACTGGAGACCTTGTCAGCATCACATGGTTGGCCTTCCGTTGACATGTACGAAAGAGTAGCCTAGTCATGATAACTGATCTCCAATGGAAAATGTCCTAGCCCAGTGATGACATATAGAATTTAAACAGGAGTGGAGAGAATGTCAAGCTTTGAAAGACCCCCAAAATTGTGTTACAGGCTCAACCTATACTGCAGTATAGCAGAACCTATACTGTTCCATTACCGGTTCAGTGAGTGTGTGCGCATGCGCGTGCACCTAACCTGAACACAGCTTCCCCCACACCAGCTGAGGCCTGCAGCGCCAATCAGCTGAGAGGATAAAGAAGAGAAAAGTGTAGGGGCAGGTGGGGGAGCCAATTGTGCACTTTTCTCTTCTTTTTCCTTTCAGCTGATTGTCAGAGGCTTTTTTTCATCCTCTCAGCTGATCATCAGAGGCTTTTTTACTACCTGTTCAGCTGAACTGGTTCAAACCGATACCATACCACCACTGATGCAGGACCCAATTAGCAGGGACCAGAGATTTTGTCTTTCGAGCTTTCTGATATGTGCTGGAGCCCATCTTCAGGATACTTCTCTCTAGCAGAGTGTGTGCTGTTCTGCCTGTGATATTTGTATGGTGCCTGTTGTGTGTGGCTTTTTAGATATTTATTGGGGTGTGTTGATGCCTGGCTATTAAGTTGTTGACTGTCACTTGCTTGTGCTACCCATCCCTCACCGTCTAAGTACTTGATAGGCTGGTGGTTAATCAGCACACCTGTTGACCGACAAAAGGCCTGTTTCCCAGACTTCAATCACTACCCTGGCTGTTTTTGTACCTGCTCATCCAACAGTCATAATAGCTGCAAAATTGAATGTGTGTTCTTATTCATTGCTGTAGGAGGCTACAAATGAGTTTGAGTCTTCTTATCCAACTGCTCATGTGTTCTTGTAATATGGTGGTTACCTTCCTCTTCATCTGTCCTACATTGTCACAGGAGGGGACCCATGCAAGGGATTTGGTAAATTACATTGGAAGTATCTCCAACCTCCAAGCAATCTTTACCCATACTGGCTGAAATTATCTGGAGAGAAAAAGGGGAGCCACGTAGGACGGTGTCCCCCAGTGGTGGGATTCAAATTTTTTTACTACCAGTTCTGTGGGCATGGTGTGGGTTGGTGGATGTGGCTTGGTGAGCATGGCAAGGGAAGGATACTACAAAATCCCATTACCACCCCCCCACCCCAGTGACCTGCTTTCCAGCTCCATTCTCCTGTGCAGGGCAACAAAAGAAGACCCAGCTGATCAGCTAGGACTCGGGAGGCAGAGAATAGAGGGAGTGGGACCAGTCAGAGGTGGTATTGGCTGGTTTTCTGAACTACTCAAAATTTCTGATACCAGTTCTCCAGAACTGGTCAGAACCTGCTAATGCCACCTCTGGTGTCCCCCATCTTGCCCTACACACTGAGTCTATAATACCATGGCTGATTGTATTTTTACCCCATCAGCTGACAGCAGACAAATTTCTCAGATACTAACCAGTTGTTAGGCAACACTTCTGCAGAGTCTAAATTAGCTTCATATCTTGAGTATCTGACCTTTCTATTTATTTATTGAATTTATTTGCTGGCAATCTCATAAAGAAACAACTTTTTAAGGGCTATAGCAGAAATGAGCTTTTAATTTCATCTGGTACCATGCAAGAATAAATAAAACAGTGCTTTCAAACAAATACCTGCATTACTGATCACACTTACTATACAAGGCTACAATTGATTACTGTGCTAGCACCTTGTCCCTGAGCCCTCACTCTATCTGAACAAATTATGGCATAGGGCATATTAGAGTGCAGGTGCTTCCAAAACCTGGTGATACACGATTAGAATATAGTATTGCAGCCAAACTCTGTGCACAGCCTGGAGTTTGATCCTGACAGGTCTCATGATTGACTAAGCTTTCTATCTTTCCAAGGCCAGTAAAATGAAGAGCCAGGTTGTTGGGAAAAAATATGCTGATATTGTAAAATGCTATATAGGGCAGACTATAAGTTTAAATGTCAGGGTTTTGTGTAATGCATCCACCAAAAGCAGAACTCTGAGGCAGGTAGATTCATCAAAGAACATTTATTGGACATACCATATCAGCACAGCTAGTGAAAACCAACTCTAAAAGTTCCCGTGGTTTCCCCCCCTAATTAAAAGAGCAAATATTCCCTCCCCAGGTGTCACTGATCACATTGTCCAATAAAGGTAGCTGGGAGGCTGCTTGGCCACTCCTCTGCCATCTGTCAGGATGACCTTGGTTTCCACAAGAAAACTTTTTGTTTTGACTGGTAGCCAGTCTTTCTGCTTCCTCCTTTCAAAGTTCGTGGCAACTATGAGGCAGGAAAATTTTCTGACATTTTCTGACATTAGAAAGATATACTTCCACTGTGAGCAATTCCTGATGCCATTTTCAGAAAGGTATTCTTTATTTATTAAGCAGATGTATATGGCCATCCAACTCATGCTCTGGTGACTCCAGGCAGCTTACAACATTAAAAATCCACAACATAAGAACCCATAACCCATCACATCCTACCTCATCTCAGCACCAACTCAATCAACTCAACCACTTATTTCCCCTAGAGAAGAAAGTGATAGAAGATTGTTTTAGATTCAAGGACTCCTTTCAAAAATTTTACTTCTCCTTCTACTTTGCAATCTCCTGGGGAAGTTCAGAAGCCTTGGTGCTTTTCTGCAGAAATAACCAAGCCAACAAAATTGCAAAGAATCATCCAATTACCTAGGGCTCTTCATCAGGAAGATAATAAACAGGATATGTGAGGAAGGAGTTACATATCAGAAACTGAACAGAAACTTCATTTACTGGCCAAATGAAGAAGTTGATCTATAATATATGTCGGTATATGCATAATTTCCTATTTATTTATTTTGTCATGTTTATATAGTGTATATTGGAGGTGGTCACCCTTTGAGAGCTGTATGCAATGAAATTTCATTTTAATGTATGCTGTTTAGTGTACATTCAAAATGGCAATAAAGTTATTCTAATATTAATTTGGACAGAAAGTCATGGTGCAAAACTCAAAGAAAAGGCCGACTTTTTTACAGAATGGAGGTATTTTTTTAAAGCCAATCCTACTTTTGGAATCATCCGTGCTATTTTGTAATGTCCTTTATTGCACAGTGGAGTATTGTTAACTGCAATGTTTCTCAGAGCTAAAACAGCTCTTGAGAGTGAAAATTAAATGGCCAAAACTACTGTGGATAAACCATGCCTGTTTAGGGTTGAAATCTGGCACTTCTCAGTCTCTATCTACACTTATCATGATTTCAAGGCAGTATCATCTATATAATCCTGTTGGTAATATTTGGGGGGTAGGTGCACAACAAAGTTCAGGAGAACATATACACACAGAAACACAAAAGAAAGGGAAATTATACAATGATACACAGGCTTCCCTGTAATTTTCCAAAATGTTTTCTCATGGACTTCTGGTTTGAGCTTCTTCAGTGACAGACCGAAACATTGTCTCTCCGAGGCTTCGATCCGTGCTCGCTGCTGGGGCTAAACCACCCCATAGAGGTGGTGAAGAGGAGGAAGACTGCCTGCAGGGTTGATGAGAGCTGCATCTCTCCTTCCCATCTGGCCATTACTCCCTTTCCCGAAGGCAGTTGTAGCGGTGGTCACAAAGAAGAACTCGACCAGAAAAGAATGTGCAGGAGAAAGATGAGAAGAGAAAGTTTTGATTGACTGGGTCAAACAGCAAAAGCAACAAATAAGGTACCCTGGAATTTAAAATTAACAACATTGTTCCCAAAGAAGATTTTGAAGCTGCAAAGGAGAGAGAGAAGGGAATATACTGACAG